AGAAAGTTTCTCACGACAAAAGGGTGAAAGAAGGAAGGGAAAAGGGGAAGAAGTGGAGTTTTCTGGCGGATAAGTTTCGTGCGCATCATGCGTGCAGCTCGCGCTAAAATACGTATCGTTGCGTAATAAACGCAAGCTGCGAACGACTACTACATGTGCTTTTATTACACGCACGTGTGTGACACATTTGAACAAGTGGTCTCTGGTGGTAACAAGACGCTGTTTGAGAAGAGAGACATTTACGTGCAGCTGGTCCCTGACGACACGGGGTGTTTGTGTATGCACATGTGTGTGTGTGTGTGTGTGTGTGTGTGTGTGTGTGTATCGCGATGCACACGCTGTGTTATTACATTGTCATATCGCAAATTCGCGGTCTCTCAGGGTCGCAAAATTCTCTCCACTATATGCTAATCGTGTCCATAATTGGTTTCGCGCGAGGTCATTTTGACTGTATTATTGCAATCGCGCAGCTAGATTAGAAATTAACACTCTTACACGATCAAGTAATGGACAATCTCATTTCGTTAGATTCAAAGGAGAATATTTCATTTGAATAATTATTCAGCTGATACATTCTCATATCGCATATTCCATCGAGTGACCACAACTCGACGCGATTATGTAACTACGGATCAAAGATCGTATTTATCGCACGAATGTATGAAGACACGTGGTTATTAAAGTTTCTAATTTTCATTCGTTAAAAAGATTGGTCATTGCAAATATATTTTTACTGAAGTTAATTATATGTATAGTTTCTAGTAGATGATAATTTACGGATTCATGATTTTCAAATAGCTATCAGAGAAAAATGCGTATAATTAAAATAGTCACGAATATCGCGCCATGATCCGATAATAAAAGCAAGTTGTTTCCGTAATATATCTCCATACGTCCAATCATATATTCTTTATAAAACGATATCCATTCGATTACTTCAAGGAAATCAACGAAACAATCAAAGTTACAACGAAAGAAAGAAATAAATAAGAAATACAAAATAAATAAATAAAATTCGATGACAAAAAAATTGTGTTAAAGAAATAATGAGGAAAACTACTTTTCTCTTAAATATTTTTGAAACATGCATATATCTCTTGACGCGGCAAAAGTAGGTCCCAATTTCAAAGAAATATATTTTTTCTGTCTGTCTTATAATTTTTCATTTCCACTCTCTTTCGCATGACAGCAAATAAAGTATTCATACTGAATACAGTAACATAGAAAAACAAGTAGAAAATAAATGATAACAATGTCCTTATACGCTACTTCGAATATACAAGATAACTCGAGTTGAATTTTCACGACATTCAATTCGTATGAGACAGGTGTACAGAAGTAAAAGGTAATTAAATTGTCGACATCTCGTTTCATTAATTGAAGTATAAGTTAATTATATTGTAAAATTTAATAAATTAATTTTTGCAAATTGAAACAAATAATCATAAAGTATAAAATTATACATTAATTTCAATAATTAAAGATGGGTAAAAGGAATAATTTTTTAAATGGATAAAAAAAGAATTAAGAAAAATTGAAATTAACGGTATTCATAAATGAAAAAAATGTCTAATTCTAATATTAAAAAATACAAAAATTAAGGTTAAAATTAAATAAAAATTACTAATTAATAAAAAAAAATTAAACATAAGATAAAGTAATAATTTGAAGAACATAATATAAAGAGAAATATCTCAAAGAGAAATGTCAAAATATTTGGTGCGAACTAAATTTCCCACGAGATGTCTGAATTTGCAGAATCGCGAATCATGCGTTATGTTCGCCAACTGGAGCGAACAATGCGATTCTATTCGCAACGAAAATAGGCTAGTGTAAGACAAATTGCGCGATCCCGGTCATAAAATTTTGCAGATCGGAAACTCGGACCCGGAAAGCGGAGGGACAGGAAACGGAGCATAATTGAAGATACGAAAGTTTATCCAGCGCGACCGGCGCAAACAAATGACACCCCGGCGACTATGAGACAGTTCTAAAGGACAAATTGAATTAAACCGGCGAATCCTGCTGTAAAAGCGTCGCCGCGCAAATTGTGAAACTCTCGCGAGTCCCTTGACTATGTACGACAACCGGGCGCGTACACGCTAATTGGAATTAAACGCTAATTCGTTAAGTGAACGGGACGGGATTGGGGGGGTCCCTCGACGCGTTACTGCTGCAGCGCTGCTGCATCTTGTTTATCGCCGAGTGGAAAAAACAAAGCGAAATATGCAACAAACGGAATTTATTCTTTTGCCCTTGTCGGATTTTCTCGAAAAAAAACGCACGCTCCTCTTTTAAACTTTTATAAGTGTTCATTTATTTAATTACGATTAGCGAAATGTACGTTAATCTCTAGAGCAACGACATTCTAAATTTACTTTCCCTCGACTCATAAATAACTAAATGATTAATTCAACCTACACTTCTTTCTCTTTGCGTGGAAATATGTTTTTACAAACGATTCTTGTTTATTGATGTTGTTACTGACAAATTATGGATTATAAGAAACAAAAATAATCATTTATTGCGATTTGTTTAACGTTTAACATAATTTTGATCGCAATTTTTTATCAAGTCACTCAAGGAAAAATTGGAGAATAAAGTTGTAAAAAGAGTAGTTTTTAAATAATTTATGAATATAACTCTGTACGCGAAATATTTTCTAATAATTTTTTTTTTAAGTTCAATATATTATTAGAATTTTTCTTTTTCTCTCTTTTTTAACTCTCAAAAGGAATTTCATATGAGAATCAAAATTAATAATTAAATACTAGTAGTAATTAAATACTAGATCTATTGTGAAAAAATGCAAACTATGTCATTGAAGATTACAAAACAATCTATTAAACATTTCTCAATTCTTTATTCAAATTTATGATTTCTTCAAATTGCCGAGTACAAATTTGCTATTAAAATGAATTCAAAATAATGAAATTCAATATTCAATAGCATATGTTAAAATTAAAAGGTTTCCGGCTTTTTGCAAAAGTTCATACATATATAGAGGATTTTCAGATTACTGGATAATTGAATTCAATATTGAAATTAATGAATACAATCTGGCGCATTGAATACAGCTAAAAAATAGATAATTAAATATAAGCTTCCTGCGATTTTTAATAGATTCAATATTTGATCACGAAAATCTCATTAACATTAATATTCGCAAAAAAGTTTCTTTTGACGATCGAAAATTCTAGCAATGTACAAACTTAATGTACTAATTTCGAACGAAAATAAAGTTTTCTCCGCACGTGTCAGCCATAAATTAATTATCTAAAAATAATGTTGAAATAAGCCTTTGACGACTTTAATCTCCGATTTTCTCAAAGTGTGATGCAGTATTTTTGAAGTAAAATAAAGAAAAAGGAAAACACATTTATCGAGCATCGAGTAAAACTACAAAAATAGATTTGCTTTTCCTCGGGTTGTTTTTTTTTCTCTCTATTATTAAAGCAGCCAGGTTCTTTAACATCGTTAGATAAGAAATATTCACGAGAAAGTCGAGACTATGTCAGAAGCATACGCTGGATCATCCGTGCCGTAACTTTCATGCGATTATCGCATGAGTCCCTTTGCACCCCCGGCGAGGAATAAATGGACGTTTTATCCGCTCGCTCCGAGGCACGAGAGCTAAACCCGAGAGCTGCGCCTAAGCCACCCTTTATCACGTCCTGATTATCATTGGTTTCGAGCCGCACTGTTGCCTCACTACGCGTATGGGGATGAAAATTAACGGCGCAAACAACCCCTCTCTCCGCTCTGGAGCAGAGAGAGAGATGCCATTTTGATTCCGCCTGCGGTTCATTAACGGTCCTTCTGTTGAGTAGCACGTGCCACCCTATGTATATATATATTATAGATATATATATATATATACAGGCGTCAACCCCATGATAGGCGGATACGATTCCCGGGAATCGGATACGATGTATTATCGCGGACTTTGATGGGGATCTTCGATAGGGATTTCCTTTACCGCAGGAAATCTCATCGAATAATCTTGAGGGTTATTGATGAAAATCTGTACGAAAAATAGAAACAAAGTTATTCGCAGATTTTCTTTTTCGTCCCACAAGAGTCTCCTGTCTTCTCTACGGATTTTTCTTCCTTGCCAGAGAATTTTATAAAGTAATTTTTTTTAAATTTTACAATAAGCGAGATATTTTCCTTCATCCTGCAATATCCGAGATCACATTGACGGGTTATAAAATAACCGACACGCACAGAGGAGATTGCTTTGAACGGAAAGGAGGTTGAGGGTTAAGAGATACCTTCCCGACGTGTCTCTCTTTCCTTCTTCGCTTATCCATCCTAGCGGCTAACGAGCGCATGTCCGATATACGGATCGCGATACACGAACAGATTATCGATACCCCTCTAGCGTCGACTAAATACGTGAATAAAGAAAGACAGCCGCTCTCGACTGCCTCTCTCTCTCTCTTTTTCTCTGATAATACACGTCGGTATGTCTAGCGAATTCAATCATCAACACATCGTTTATCATGGGGTTGTCATGATAAACGTCATCCACATGTGCCGTGGATAACGAGATACACGAACGATCATTTTTCACTTCTTAACCATGATGGACCACGATTGCTCTCGCGACTGTCGTCACTTTATAATCGACTCACTTACACGATTTCTCTACCTATAATCCCGCTCTGTATTTTCCTTTCTGTGAATATTAAAGTATACAGTGCTCTATACTTTCGGGATATTAAATGCATTTATTTTTGTATCGTCGATAAAAAAGTGAATCTCCGAACGAAACGCAAAACCGAAAAAGAAGGAGAGTCATAATTTCAAATGATGCAGACAAGATCCAGCAACGGTGGATTATTTTTTAAGTGAGAAACTGAATTTGATCCTTTTCGGAATTAAATTGTGAGACTTCATAATAAAATCACTAAATTAGTTTCTCCAACTCGTCACATTGACACATTCTTCGTCTCACGTGTTTGATAGAGCAGCTTTCGTTCATTCAGGCAACATACCATAGAGGTTCGTGCACTTTCTTCTCGAAAGCCGGATAAGAAACGCGGCCGGAATGAACGGAAATCGAGAGCCGCGAAGGAGTTTCACGTAGCGGTCGCGAGACGGTAAGCGCGCACACACGCACGCACGCACACGGACGCAACTCTCATTATAGCCGCGCGTAATTTCACGATGAGAATATCGCCGACGGTCTCGAAGGCCATCGCGCCGATAAGGTCTTTATCACGCGTTGCCGCGAAAATTCGTCGAAAAATACACCGGCGCGATCACCCACGCGGCGTGGAATCATCGTCGCTCGTTTCCCTTTCACGGGGCGGTCGCGAATCGAGCGACAAGGGGACCGGGAGTCGCGACAATCGCACGTCGGGACACACGATAGATGCACGGCGAATCGCTTTGTGGCGACTATTTCCAGAGACCAGGCGTCGTCACTCGTAGGTGAGCGAAGGGCGCTCGTGACGGGGTGGGGACGAAAGGGAGTAGAACGGGTAGGATGGGGGGAGCGAGCGCATGGACGGGGTGGATCGTCGTCTGTGGGGTGCAGCGGACGCGGGAAGAACGAAGGGGGTTGCGCGAGGGTAAGTGCATCGGCACGGAAAATGTGTCGGTCGCAGGAGACGCGTTTACCGGACGCCGCACAACGCGTTGCTCGTGTGAGCAATCCCCCCACCCTCTCTTCTTCCCGCGTTTTACTCCCTTTTTTTATTCTTCGCTTTTTCTCCCTTTTTTTCTTCGTCGGCCCTGGTTTGGCGGCCGACGAGATTCTTCTTTCCTCGGTTAACAACATCCGGAGCCGCGTCACGAAGAACGGAAAAACTTAATGAGATCGTCATTCGCGGGTGGGAACGATTCGAATAGGTAGAGATTGATAATTTCCTATAAGTGGAATTAATTATTATTATTGAAAAGCAATAAATAATCACTAATGATCTTAGTTATAAGTATCTTAGTTATAAATTAGTGAAATTTCAATGAAAGAAATGAAAGAATCTTATAATGATAGTGTTTTAATCAGATATTTTTAAATGTCTTATATTATAATGTTAGATATGAGATATAAATTTGTAGCAATGTATTTTTTAAAAATAAATATCTGAAATTGACTAAAAGTTTTGCTCATTTTTTATGGATTTATCACATCTTAAAAAATGCAATTTTAATATTAGTTATATATGTTTAATTTCAAATGCATGAAATGAAAATTTCTTTTAAAAATGTAATTCAAAATTAAAAACCACATCTTGCAAATATATATTGCTGATTATGGCTAATTTTTCAGTGAAATCTTATTGTCATTAGAGAGAAACGCAAAATGGATAAGCAAAGTTAATGTTTTCATTGAAGTTTAATAGAATATTTATTGATCCCTGATAACATTTCGTATCACACTTTAAGAGATACTGAAACACATTATTAATTGGCAGAAATGTGCACGTTCGAAAAATGTTAAAATTAAAACGGATAGTCCCATATATTCTGGGTTATAAATAATAATTTTTTTAAAATAATGAACACTCTTTAAAATGCTCGACAAGATATCTAAACATGAAGAATACGCTATTAAAAATAGTTCGGAGGCGATTAAGCCGATGCTCAATAAATCTCCACTCGGTTCGAGCGATAATTCAAAAGAGACAGACAAACAATATACAATAGTCATGATGGAGCGCTTTAAATCTGAAATTTAACTCCGTGGGATATGCCGTCCATTATTTATATATAACAAGTACATCACGTGAATTACAAAACGGGACGTAGCCTGTATCACGACGGATATTTGCGCTCGCTTCAAAAGGTATATATATATATATATATATATATATATATATATATATATATATTTTGCAAATATGAAACATCCTGATTTATTCAGTCGACAACCGGACAATCGAGCGACCGTAAAACCGCGAAATAATTTCATAAATCCCGATCGAATTCGATTAATAGCAATGTTTACAATATTCTGCTCTAATAATATATGTATATCTCCTGTTCAGGGAAATAATATCGGAATCATCAATTGTAATTTATTTATCCACTGCGCGAGAATTGTAGTAAACAATAAATCCTTCTCCATTCGGGACACTTTATTTATATTACGCGTAAAAAATAGATTCCGATAAAGCCGCGTTAATTACACACAATTAAAAAAATTCTATTCTCAAAGGATTATAAACTAGGAACAAACGTGACGTTGGAGTCATCATCGAGTCGAAGGCAACACAAACGTACTACACGATCGTGTACAAAACTCATACTTGGTCGAGCGATTCCCTGTCAATCACGCAATCTACTCCGCTTGTTTCCGATTTTCGTTTCCACACTGTGAACGTGCGATATTCGACTCGATAAATTCGCGAGAAGGGACAGTTTTCCGCGACTCCGATGCGCGAGTCTTTCTTCCCTCCGGCCAATCGGCCTCGCGCATAACTGACTTGCAACACGAGCGATTGTCCCAGCATGTGCCCGCACCGATGAAATTAACTCTTATCGCCTTTATTGCCCATTGTTCACTTTGTATGTACGGCGAGCAGAGGCCGATTTCCTACCTCGTTGAAGCATACATGTATATTTACGATAACCGGCCCGAACCGTCATTCCTGACGACTAGTTTGACTTATTACCAGAGCCGATATTCCTTTTACGAAAATCAAGTTAAACTTCATTTAGAGTTACATGTAACATTTATAGATAAAATTATAGGTTATAGATTAATAATTATATGTATAAAATTTATAGATACATATTATCGTATCATTCAGAAATTTTTTAAATCAATTTTTACTTTCTTTTATTTTATTTTCTTTATCGTTTTTTTATATATTATATATTATTGTTTATATACTTGTTTATTATTTTTATTATTATTAATATAATTTGTTATATATTAATAATATATAACAAATTATATATTATTTATTATTCATATGTTATATATTATTACATTTTATATATTATTTATGGAATGTAAAATAAATTACGGAAATGATTTTCAAATAGCGCGAAACATAGCGCGATAAACTATTAATTAATAATAATATTTATAATATCTATCTGTTGAAAAGAGAAAGAAAGAGAGATGGATAATCCGTCGAAACAGGTTGAGCATGAATGTCGCGGGAAGAGCAAAGTAAAAAGAGGGAAACGGAACAATACTATTTCCAGAAGAGGAAAGAAAGAGTTCGCGAAGATCTCAGCAGGTTTTAACGTGCTTATCTCTCTTTGTGAAAGTAGGTTACCGCTTGAGAAAGTGAAATACTCGGGTTTGACGTTTCATAGAGATGAATCTCGGAAAAAAATCCCTCGCGCGTTCATCATATAATTCCGTAATTCGTGAATTAAATTATAGAATAGAATTTATATATGAAAATTCATCGAAATGGAAGCTCTCGCCAAGCTATTAATAGCACATCGTGAATTCATCGTCGATCAAGTCCCAATCGAATCGCGGTTTGCTCCTTTTGCGTGACTTATCCGCAATCGACGAGTGAGCTCTTTTCTTATCGAGATGCCATCATCGTATGAGCGGGAGACGTGGATTGCATCGTAAAATCGCATCGATGCGATATCTGCGATCGAAATTCAAGATGAATATCTCTCCGAAGATCTCTCTCGCGAAGAAATCAAAACTCCCGAGATACGAGTTTGAAAATCTCTCGAGATACACTTACGCTATATCTCGAAACTTGAGGAGCGGAGAAAAAGAGACAGAAAGAATGCAAGGATGAGAGAGGGAGAAAGAGATGTCGCGCTTATAGACATTTAAACACATGCGATTTAAAGTGATGTCATAATCTAATGAGCCGCACACGTTTGACAATTAAGCGAAAACACACACGGTTCTCGATAATTAATGCAATAATTAGCGCGTGACCTGCGTTCGGAATGTTTATTCTTAAAACAATGCATGCTTCGCGTTGCGACGATTGTATTGAGATCTCTTTCTGGAAATATATAATGGATCAATACGATATCTGATCACCGCCATCGAGTATTTTTATGTCGCACATGGATAATGAAAAACATACAGAGCTTTAAGATTAAGCAGATTTAATATTCCGTAAAATAAATATCAATTGATTCTTAAATCAATTATCTTGACGAACATTATTTCACCGCGTGATGATGTTACTGAAAATTGTATTAATTGAAGCAACATCATGGAAATACTTTCGTATAGCTATAATTAATTCTATTTGTTAATATTATATTATGCGAGACCTGTCAAAGTTGGATGCATGTATTTCACGTGCATTTCTCAAATATTATATTATTTATTATATTATTCAATATTATATTATTTTCTCAAATCGCAAAAGCAAAATACATAAATACGATATTTCGAAAAATTTCAAAAGATCGAAAGAGGATTAACAAAATATTTTCGAATGTTCTGTATGTTTGTAAGTCGATTTCTAGATTCCATTCCGCGAACAAAATATTTATTTGATTGTGTTTTGATTTTGTTTCCTTTTCCTGTTTGCGCGCTTTGTGCGGAGAAAGAAAAAACTCGTCTTTCAATAAATACATTCTACATATATATACATATAAATATACATGCATATATATATCTATCCCTCTTTGAGCGAGGGTGCGCGAATATTCTATGGCATCCAACGAGAAATGCCCAGATGACGATAGTTATCATATCCGTTCTACGAAAATAGAGCTAAAGTAAAATCTCTCGGGCTATTTATTCGACAAATAAATAGTTTCGTATCAAATCTCGCGAATATTGTGATGCTTCGCCTCGTCTTTGCGACATTTTTCTGTGCGCATCCAATATATGTATCGCGATTTTCCTCATCATCGTCGATCAACAATTTCCCACTCTCCCCATCCCGAATATATTCATTCTTCGAGTATATTTGCGAATGAACCTACGTACGGATCGTTCCTTTCGGTGGAAAGATACGCTAAATTCATGGCTGGTGGCCAAAAGTAGCAAAGACTTTCGGGCATAAATTTCGACGATCGACTCGCTTCGCGATTATTCATCTCTCGTACTTATCGAATCGCGCGAGAGGCGATTGACGATCTGAAAAATGGCCGTCCTTCGACCCTTGAAACGCCCTTCGCCGAAGGCGACGACGGAAACGGCAAGGTCGGCGACCGTGTCGACACCCTCACCCTTGAAAACGCAACGCGGCAGGAAGGTCGAAGCCCTTTCATCTCTCGAAGAAAGAACCAGGAAGTGATCGCGCAGGAGCCTCCAAGTAAATACATTCGCATTAAAAGGGGGAGAAACCGGAAAAGCATGCGATAATTAACGCGTCGACCGTGGCACGGTGAAGTTTCCGTTTCCCGAGGAAGCGAAAGAGATAGAAATATGTCACGTCCTTATTCCACGAAAGATATAGCATCCAAGAAAAACGATCGCGAGAAAGTCGCGTATCGAGAAGGAGGAGGGAAAG